GTGAAGGGGAAATTGAGTACAAGGACTAGGCTTTTCCACCGAGTTCCCTGATGCACACACACATTCACCATCTCTCCCTCACCCTCTCCTTCCCTCTCCCTCTCCTCTCCTCCTCTCTCTCCCCTCCCAAAACACACAAACACACCCTTCCAAAACCGCATCCTGGTAAGTCCCAAGCTGCCTCTGGGTGCTCTCCAGTTATTAAGTGGACAGTAACAAGATGACTTCTTAAAGGGTCAGTGGAGAGATACTGGCTATGGCGGCATTCTTTGCGTCTTTGGAAACTTAAGTATTGCAATCCCATGCCAGTTCATTTAGGAAGTGCTGTATGGTTCTCTAATTAGAGCAAAATTTCCTGCAAGTTAGTGGTGGAAACTGATTAGATGACCCCATATTAGAGCTCTAAGAAACATTTTTCTTCACCTTCAAAAAGTGCACATTGTAAACAAATTGCTTGTGCCGGAGAGTTTAAAGGGTTTCTTTTCCTTTTGGCATCTAACCAGTGGCCTCAATCTACATGTGTACCTCACAGTGACAGCCTGCACGTCCATATTGTATGGAACAGGGCAGATTAACCTTCATTTTGTTAAACTGGAATGAATGACGATGGTGAGGGGAGAAGGCATGGGGATTTTTACATGAAAACTTAAAACAAGCACTACCCTATCCATAAACAGTAATTCCCTCTTGGGGAGAATTTTGGTAAGTACAAGTATAGTGAACTTGACAAACTCAAATGGTGAGGAGATAAATGGTACAAAGACCACATTTTCAGCATTAGATTCCAAAACACCCTAAGCCCACATCATGTGTAGGTACTGGCTGCTATTTTTGTGTATAAAACTACTCAAATGACTAAGTTCGCTAGTTAGTGACTATGAAATACGGGATCTGGTTGTAAGTCTTCCTTACCATGTGTCCTTCCAAGCCCCAGGCAACAGGTCAAACAAGTTCTTGACCCCTTTGGGACAGTCACCTTGCAAGTATGTGTCTCAACCAAGTAAGACACACATGGGGTGTCATCTTTGATGTGAACTTTTGGAAAGAGAGGAAAGAACAAATTTAGAGCTAGACAACAGGTCTGTATTGGCTAACTTGTGCTAAATAATTTCATTATCCAGTGTAACTGGGAAGAAAAGCACTTTGAGGATTCTTGGGGTCAGAGAAAAAGCAGTTGATTTGATTTTTTTTTAAGTATTTTTTAAGTTCCCCTAGTATGTGTATGTGTGTGTGTGTGTATTTATATATACATATATATGTATATGTATATATATATAATTTATCAAACATTCTAATTGAAACTCAGTTGCCAAAATTGCACAGTTTCTGATAATATTAGCTTTGCCCATTTAAATCACAGGGATGTGTAAGGACATTTCTAATGATTTTTTTTAATGCTTTTCTTAAGCTTCTTTTTAAAGAGGATCTTTGATGGTGAGGAAGAGCAGAAAAGGGTATTTTAACAAAAAGGAGAGACGTAGATAGTATAAAAATATATTTCTTGAACAGAGAAAGAGAGAATCTAAGTGCTATACCAAGACTTTATAAGGCTGCCTGTTGCCAAATGTGATGTTGAAGTAATGCACAGCTAAGATGACAAATCAATCCATTATTACCCGGCTCTGCTCATTTCTGTTATGGAATGCAAGGATGAGAGGTGACTCTGGGGAGACACTAGATGTGTGAGAGAGCTCCACTCATCTGGCCTGGGTAATATTTTCCAAAAGAGGGATAATCCCAGCCCTCGAGGTGGCCCCCTGCAAGGTGAACTGAGCTGGCATTGTTTCGAGTGGGGCAGGGGGGGGGGGGCTTGCTGCTGGTCTTTTCCATGCTAGGAGACAAAGCATCCCTGCCCTGCCTGGGAGTCAGCACCATAGCTGTGAGAAGCATTGATTCATGAGGTAGGATGCTCTTGAACTCCCAGACAAAGTGCTGAGTTAATAGGTTCACTTGAGATGTATAAACCAAGGTTGATTGTTTATTTTTTTTTCATCTAGTACTCAATTTGGAGTGTTTTTGCATGTCTTTGTACAGAGTAAGCCATTGTGCTCATTGCTTGTCTTAATCTCCCTGACTTTTCCATTATCTTTCTATTCCCACCATTTGCTCTTCTTCTGATCTCAACACCCCTTTAAAAAACAATCTTTTCTGAAGCAAGAAGGTAGAACACTCCCTCCTTCATCCCGATATTGACCGCTTTGGAAACATTTATGTGTTCTACCCTGTCCAGGGTTTACATAACGTGAAATAAGTGAATGAGATATTCTAGTATTATATATTAACCAATATGACTATCTAAGATTTATAATATATGGTGCACTCACTTTCCTGTGCAAACTTTGGTTCAGCTGCCCTGCAAAAAAAAAAAAAAAACACCTCACTATTTTCCTACCAGTCCAGTCGGAAAGGTGCAGGAGAGCTACACGTGAGTACCTGGAGCTCAGAGGGGCAACAGAGGTTGAGAAAACAGAAAACTTGAGTCTGAGGCCCTTGCCTCACCACGAAGGTGGAGGTGAATCAGAGCTCTGGGAAAGAAACCTCTCTGTTCTCTACTGCTGATCACGGTGTAGTCCTTCCAGAACTAGCGAGACCCCTCATGAGGTTGGGTGAGCACTTACACTTTCTGATTCACCCAAACCCACTGGTATATGTCTAATGCAAACATTTGACTCAACCTGCGTGTTTCACAGCAAAAGTGGCCAAAGGGAATTGAAGTATCTTGACGAAAAGGAATTTTCACCAAGATACGGACTCTCCCTCACAGTTCGGGAGCTTATGCTCTTTTTGTTTATATTGTTCTCATCTGCATCAAACCAGTCTCTTCTGCTAAGCCTGTCGCAGAACCAAAGTCTGTACCACAAAGGGAGTGGCTCTGGGGACAGGGACAGCTTGCCTCCCTGATCTGGCCATCGTGATGTTGGTAGCTTCATAAATACTGTATGTACCTTGAACAAGGGTTTTGTTTCTGTTTTGTTTTGCTTTTCAGTTTGTTTTACTAGTAGTTTAAGGGAATTAAACTTTTTTATTTGCTCTTTTCTTTGTTGTATTTTCTGTACTATAACTGTCTACAATATGTCTTTTGCATAAAATGCATAAGGGTTTGGGGTGTAAATGGAATTTTATTCATATTTTGTCCAAATACCTCTTGTAATTTGTATCAAAATTCTTGTACAATTTTTATATTAAAGATTTATCAGTCACTGATCTCTTCTTACCTTTTTGATTTGAAGAAGCTGCCACAAACTCCAGTAAGTCTTTCTAAAATACACCCAGAATATTTCAGCTAACAGGGTAATTCACCCTAGTGAAGCACACTTGGATAATTCAGAGTCTACTTCCTACTTGGCCTGAATCCTGGTATCACTTAGTGCACTTCTTAAGAATCGCAAACTCCTCTCTTGATCAGATGGCAAAGCTGAGTCAGAGCTACAGAGAGCATAGCCCCCTCCCAGAAGAGCCCAGCAGACAGTAACTCGAGTATTTCCTCACCACAGTGATCCCGTTGGGGATGTCTTGCCTGTTTCTTTCCTAAATATCTTTCCCCCAAGCTCTCTTGAGAAATGGAAGACCAAAGGAAGAACTTAGGTTTCTACAAATAAATTTTCACCTTAGTTTTCTGCAAATAAATTTTCTTTCCTCCCTCACCCCATGAAATTTGTGGACAGCAGCCAACAGGATGATGACTATATATTTTTTCACACTAAATGCTTGTGTTTCAGTTTATATTCTCCTGGCAGTGTTTTTTTTCTGCAGATTGTGCTTGTTATAATCTAGAAATAAAACGAGCAGATGGAAAGATGTCATAATCAGGGACATTTCCTCCTGCCATAGTGCTTAAAGAACAAGGAAGAAGTACTTTTGACTTGGCATTGTTTAATATCACTCCCACCTCTTAAATCCACCCTAGCTGAAAATATGGCTAACTGAGATTATAATTTTTCTGGAGTCTCTCTTCCAAGTTAGTTAGTTCTTCACACTTACCAGCAGATCTGCCCAAATCTTGCCAGCTCATACCACCCAGCTCTCCAGTTCCCTCTGTCCTATACTCCAGGAAATGAGAACACTCTACAGCAACTGCACAACCCTGGGTCGCTGGCCAGCAAGGGCGTAGGCCCATGCTCTCCACCATCCTGCTCTTATCTGGCCCATTATAAGGGGTGATCCAGCTTCAGATACCAGTGACTGAGGATTCTTCCCAAGACAACAGGGTTGTAAGTCATCAAGTCTTAATGGGGCTTCCCTCCCTGACTTCTCTGAACACTCATAGATGGATTTGGTGTGAGGGTAAAGAAACGTAAGGTTAAATGACTTTGGGGAAGTCAACCTCTGTTGAGGCATGTGGTTATTAAATATCACGGATGTGTTAACGCACTCCTGTAGGGAATCCAAGCATAATTATGATCTTTTCATCTGTCATAACACGTCTGTAATTGGCAAGAATTCTCCCTCAAACAGCTCCTTCTTCCTACAAAAAGAGGTTGTTTTAAATGCTATTAAATGGTGGGAAACCTCCTGTTTAGCAAAGAGACACCCATGTAGACAGCTCTTGGCACAAGGCTAAACAAAACTGCCTGGGCTGCAGCCAGTCGCTCTCCTGAGCCGCTGAAGACTTGCTATCTGCTATTTGCCTGTGTCGGTTGACAATATGACAGTAGATTAAGTGCTACTAATTTAATAAAGCTGCTCTGAGGACAAAGCTGATCTATCAATGAAGACCAGAGAGGAACACATTGGTGGGGGATCGGGACGGGCAGCTGAGGATATTTAATTGCCTGAAGTAATACTGGGGGGCCGGGGATCTATTGATCTTCAGTGAGGCACAGTTATTTTTAGTCAGCTGACTCCCAGCACCCAATCATTACCCATATTCATCAGAGACAGATAATGAACAGAGGTATTGATTAACAGGGGGGAGCTGAGGAGACTTCCCAACAGTGCTAGTTCACATTGATAGGTCTCCAAAGGAAAAGCAGGCCTTGTAGCCCTGGAACATAACTTACTATGTTCTAGGTCCTTCCATTGATTTGATCTGGGGGAGGAGGAGGGATGGAGAGCCTTATACAATGGTGCTCCCTTGACCTGTTTCTGAAAGCTTCCTTGGAAAAAAAGAAGAAAAAAAAATTAACTGCAACACTCAACAAATACACAGTCCTGCTGTTACGTTTCCTGCTTCTCTCCAGGCTGGCTGCCCTACCTCATTGTTGATGGCTGTGTGTGTTATCTTGATTTACGGGGAATATGCTTGAATCTGGGACATGCCAGTCAGAGTTCAGAGCCATCAGGAATAACAAGCCTTCCTCCCCTAAAGATCAACATATGGCTTCGAGAAATTAACGTGTTAGGCTAATTGCACCAAGTTGGCATGGTAGGAACATAATGAGGCCCGGTTTCTGCATGCTGACCCCAAACCCAGTGATGCCAGTGCATAGAAACTTTCCAAGCATTTTGCCTCATGGCAGGAATCCTCATTGAGCTGCTGTTTGCAAAAGGCTTTTGGTTAGGTTTCTAGCGTGTGCCCTGAACCTGCACTGCTGAGTTCCAATCACAGAACAGAGTTTGCTGTGCTGTTTATAGGAGCACCTGTCCTTCCAGAGATCTAGTGGTGACCCAACTGCTATACCCATCAGAAGCCACGCGCTGCCTGTCGGGCAACACGCTGCTTAAAATACTGATCTGTAACAAGAAACCATTAAACCCCAGGGAGAAAACGGAAAAGGATTAAGACAAGGACAACTGTAAAAAAATAAAGCTCAAATGCATCATTAGAAACCAGAAATTTGCAAAGTACAACTGTCTGTCATTCAGACTGGATATTAGCAACACTTGACTTGTGTATTAATGAAATGTTGTAGGCGCGCCAAGAGCCCTTTCCCACTGAAGCTGGTCTCTTTACTCTAGTCTCCCCCTGCCTGAGCCCAGAACTTGGGTGACAGTTCATTTCACGTGCCTCAGATGATCCTCACCAACTTGCCTACATTTGTCTTACCTTGGCCAGCAGACTTTGCAACTCCAAGTTTGCGCCTCATCTTCGACTTGACAACTTTTTGCATGCCATCTTCAGCTTTTTCATTGCCCTTTTTATTCTCTTCATCATAACGCTCAGCTCAATTTCTGTTTTCTTGGCTGATGCCATTAAAATAAAACAGCTCAAAATATTTTGATCCTTTTGGCTTAGACAGCACCTTTCCTTCTTTCCAAAGGTAAGAGTTTATAGAAAAAAATCAAAATCTTCAATAATTTTACATTCATATTCTTTGTGCTGTGTAGTAACTCTGTGTTTTTGGAATGCTCCAAAAAATGGTTATAGCTCTTGAATTTGCAGTTTATCAGGGTTTTGGACATGTGCTGTGTGTGGTGATTTAAAATTATTAGGCCACTTCCCAGTTTTTAGAGAGATTCATTTTTACAAATATAAATGCTATTAACAATTCAAAGCACTCTAATAACTCCCCATTTCTGTTCTTCCCCATGATCTCAATTTTCATTTTTCCTGTTTTTCTCTTAAGTGGAGAATTTCCTTCCAAAGTTTCACAAAGTCATTTGCAGGCTAAAAATGAGACACTTATTTGATTATTTTCAGATGTCACATCCACTGGCCTTCAGCAGAAAGTAATTCTGCAAGATGGTATGCTTTATGCTTTCTGTTCTTTCAAAAACCACAAACCTGTGTGTTTGAAAATCTGACTCTTTCCCAAACCCTCAGCCTCACCCACCAAGCTCACACTTGAATATGGTTTCAGGCTCACATGCAAACTTGCCCCTTAAAGAAGCAACAAAGCCCTCTTGCTTCCACAGGTCTTCTGTGAGCACAGTGGGGAGGGAGGGAGGGAAGGGCGTGGAAATGCCATGTGACTGGTGAAATGAAGGGAGCTGTGTCTCACGGTGGAAATGCACTCTGCTCACTTTAACAGAGGACAATTTCTCTAGCCCTCAGAGTTGGTGGTATGAAGTAGGTGATCAATGCCCATGAAGAGAATGAATGGGGATATTACTGTGGAGTGGGGGTGGATGAAGCAGCCCTTCGTTCAAAGTTGAAGGCAGAGCCAGCCTTAGAGAAGGCCAAGTAGGCAACTGTCACCTGTGGACAGAAGAGCGCGCCGGCCGCTTCAGGGCCCTGAAAAGCAAATTGTAGCAGAAACACTGAGAAATACCAGGACTAAGAGGATCCCTCATGGACCTTATGTCCTTACATGGCAGGTTTTCCCTCCAACGACCCCCCCCCCCGCCCACTTCTGCCCCTTGCCTGGTCTCACCCAGTGATGAATAGGAATCAGATTGGCCTGAGAGATGTCCAAAAGCCCTTTCACCAAAGATTTGGGCAGAAAACAGTGACTATTAAGAGAGAGTGGGAGAAAATCCTTTCGCATTCCTTTCTTCTCCATTTTCTTGTACCTGTTTCAAACACACGGATTTTGTGACCAGAGTAGCTGCAGCTACAGCAACAGGGCAGTGTGGGGGCCAGATCCCTGCAGAGGAAGCTGTCACCCCGCTCAGAGGCACTGCAACCCTAAAAGGACGGGGAAACTCCTTTTGCTCTGCGTGCCCACCTGTCCTGCCACCACTTGGTGCTAGAGCTGAGCACAGTCACAGGAAGGACACAGTGACCAGCCTTCCCACCCGAGGAACCAAAAAGGCAAAGTTGGAGTTTCAGGGAAGGTTGCGGAGAGGGAGGCTCTTGGTGAATACAATGGTGAATTCCTGGCTCACCCCCAAGTTACCTGTGCATGGATTCACAATCTACGGCACTGACTGACACTGACTGGCACTGACTGGCTACTGGATGGCACCCATGTGGGACAAATCCAAACAGTGCTTGGAAGATTTTGAAAACTGCAGTGACACGGGGCTAAGACCCACAGAAGGCTGGTTGGAACTTGTAGCTGGCATTCAGCTAATTCTAATACCTAAAAACATATTGACATTCTCCGCAGGATTTAAACAAAACCCAGAATCTCATAACATGTGTGGCAGGGAGACTTCTTGTTTGTTTTTAAATTGTGGTAGAATCTATATAGCATAATATTTACCATCTTCACCAATTTCTTTTCGTGTGTGTTCCAATAAAATTTTATTTACAAAAAATAAGTTCAGGGGAAGGAAAAAATTCACCCCACAGGATGATCACTGCATTAGAGTATGAAATTTACTTCTTGTGGTCTTTCTGTAAAAATCTCAGACCAAATGTATTTCCTATGGTGAACCTTGATCATCTTTAAGTTTCAATTCTGTGACATTACATACACGCCCATTTTCCCCATCCTCCTCTTCTGAAGTTGGGGATGAAAATATAATCATTAAACACCAATTTTCCATTCTCTTCTACCCCCACCATTCTTTCTGTCACTATGGATTTGACTATTCTAAGTATCTCTTGCAAGTGGATTTATGTGGTTTGTCTTTTTTTTTTGCTTTCTGATTATATTTTACATCATTGTTCATTTTTGTACAATGCTTGCTTTGTTTTCTCAGGTATAGTCCTCCACCAACTCAACCATGCACAAATACCATAGTCCTTTGTGCTCTTCCCTCCCAATGCCTAAAAGACAATATGTTAAGTGAAATGAAGCAATCACAAAAAGATAGAGAGAGAGAAAGAGGAATCTTTGTGCTTTGTGACTGCTTCATTTCACTTAACAAAATGTCCTTCTGGTGAAGCTTCAGAATTTGCTTTTAACCCTGAATAAGATTCCATTAAGTGTATATATTACTTTTCATTAACCAGTCATCTGCTGGTGTGCACTTGGCTTATTTCCCAAAGAAGACAGACTTCTAAGATGGCCCTAAGGCTTCCTAAATACAAATATGAGTTCTCAAATCCTCTAGCCATCTGTCTCCTCAAGTTGGCCTAGTGACTTACTTTTAGCAAGCATATGATGAGAAAAGGTATGTTCAGGGTTCAAAATTTTCAGACTGTTGAGCATCTTTTATCTGGGAGAAGACAAGAAGACCAAGGTGGTGAAGGTGCTGGAATTAGCTGAAAAAGCTTCAAAGCAAGTATTATTTAAGTATTCCAGGAATAAAGAGCACTCTGGTGACCAATGGAAAGGGAAAAGTTCTCATAGAAAATAAAAATTATAATGAATAAAATGGAAATTTAAAAATGAAAATTAGTGAAAAATGTAAAATTCCCTGGATCAGCTCAATAACAAAATGGAGCTGACAGACTGAAGTTAGTGAAATTAGAAGGTAGGCCCACAGAATTGCCTAGTTTGAACAATAGAGAGAAAAACTGAACAGTATCTCAGGGACCTGCGGGATAATAACTTATTGGAGTCCCGAACTAGAGGAGAAAAAGCTTACTGGAGGGGGGAAAACAGTATTTGAAAAACTATTAGCTAAAAATTCCCAAAATATAGTAAAAGACACAAACCTACAGATTCAAGAGGCTCGTTAAACACAAATAGGATATAGTCAGACAAATGCAAACCTGGACACACCAGTCAAGTTGCTGAATTCCACAGATAAAAAAGAAAATCTCAAACAAAAGGATACTTTACTTAAAGAGAAACAATTGGAATGACTCTGTCTTTCATCAGAAACCAAGAAAATCAGAAGAAAGTGGAACAACGTTTTTAAAGTAATGCAAAATTAGGACTGTCAACCTGGAATTCTGACTCCAGAATAAAAATTCTTTTGGAATGAAGATGAATTAAAGATTGTCAAATAAAGGAATTATCAGGTGTTTTCTCCTTCAGTATTCATGTTCCAAAAGAACTGTAAAAGGAAATCCTTCAAAAAGAAAGGAAAAGTTACCAAAGAAAGAAAGATGTAACCTCAAGAAAGCAGGAAGAGTAACAGCAGTGAAAAGTACATGGGCAACTATAATCAACTAACTCTCTCCTATTAATTTCTTGATGGTTTGAAAGCAAAAACTATGACATTGTCTGCAGGGCATTTATGATATTAACAACCCAGTCTTGCCCTCTAGCACAGTGAGTGGCTCCTAATTCCTGGCCAAGGCATGTGATATCCTGCAGTTGCTGACTGGCACCTCCTCCCCCCAGGCTGCGCCTTGTGCACATACAGGCTGCAATCCTCCTGGGCAACAAGAGTTTAGATATGACGACCATTTTAGATGCTGTGCCTACTTTAGAGCAAGAACATACATAAGTGTTTCCTTGAGTAAGCCGTAAGTAGAGAAGAGAAACCAGTATGGGAGACTGACAGGAGTCATAAGGAAAGAGCCAGACACTTGTGGAGGCGGGGGAGTTAAAAATGTCAAGTGAGTAGTAGTGCATGTGACTAAACTAGAAAACTCAGGAAGGAAAAAATGGAAGCAGTCATCAGATTTGGTAATTCGAGACGAAGTTCAGAGTTCAGTGTGGTGAGGGCAGATCCTTAGCAGCGCAGCTCCATGTCAACCAAGCCCTGCTTTGCTTGCTAGACTTCAGCACTCACTCACCCCACTACTCAAGGAAGCAAGCTAGGCTGACTTTTGCAGAACAGCAGCCAAAGAAAGACCAGGCAAGGGCAGCCCGCTCAGAAGCTTGCAGGTGGCTGTGAGAAAATCTGTTACAACGCAGAGATAATAATTTAGCTACCTGAACCAGCCAGGATGCCGACTGATAGGGTAGTTGGATGTGGAAGGAAATAGAGCCAAGAGGAGAGAGAGAGCAAGACAAAGAGAGAGGTAGACACAGTCTGTGCTTGCTGAAAGAGGGAGAGAGACCAAGAAACAGGTCTCTACAACTGCTCTGGGCTGTAGGAGCCCATGGTGAATAGTGTGGGCTTCACCAGCCATTTTGATGCAAAGGGAAGGATGCTTGTATTCAATTGGGAAAAAAAATTCAAGGGCTGTGTGTGTGTATAAGAGAGAGAGCTTACTAAGAGGAAAGTTTCCATCATAAAGGAGAACGTGATAAGATAATGCTGCGGGCTCACCTGATTCCTGACACTGAATCCATCCCTGCATTTACAGGGAATCACGCTTCTGCTGAAAACATTCAAAGGACACTCTGCAATGCCCAGGGGAACCACCTCCATAGTAGACCTGGGAGCTCCAGAATATTCAAAGTGGTTAACATGGACAGAGAGAAGGGCACCATCTGAGAGTCTGAACCATGCATGGGGCTCAGGACAAAGCACAGAACCTGCCTTTCCTCATGTTGGACCCACAACACCCCTACATTTCAGGCTCCACCATCCTCTGTCTTAAGGTGGAGAATTGAAGGCTCAAGTAAGTGAAGTAACACAGACCATTAGAACTGGACTTTGAACCCAGATCTTTTCATCCAAAGCCATCATGTTTTTCTACCTTCCATCCTTCTTCCTGTCTTGAAGCTCATACCCTTATCAATCAATAAGCAAAATGTTGT